GTCTTTCCTGAAAGAGTGGTGAAACATTGGAAGAGGCTGCCCAGGTGAGTCCCTGAGTCCCCATCCCTGGAAGTATTTAAAAGACGTGTAGATTAGGGACATGGTTTAGTGGGCATGGTGGTGTTGGGTTGACGGTTGGACTCGATGATCTTAGAGGTCTTTTCCAACCAACCTTAATGATTCTGTGGTTCTATACAGGTTTAACTCAATCCTTACTCATTGTCTCTGGCAATGGCCAGATGAGCAACCTGTGTGCACGTGCCTCCAAACCAGTCACAGCATTTACTGTGTCTTGCTGAAGCAGCAGGGATGGGTGAGAAGGATGCAAGTATGAAGACTGGATCCATCAGAGGCCACAGAGAATGAAGGAAGAAATAGGGTACTTGCACGGCATGGAGTTTCATGGTAGAGAGTTGGGGTTGCAGTACTTGGAGACTTTGGAAGGAATGGTGCAGGGTACACTGGACATAAACCCATAGGAAACCAGGCTTTGTTGGTGCCACTTCTCACAAAACAGCTCATTCAGGTGCTATAAGCCTACAATAACTAAAGGAATGCATCAGCTAACTAAGAATATGGAAGGCAGAGGTTGTTGTGCTTTGTTTTGCATTCAGGGATAATAGGACTGGAACTGGGTATGGGCTGTGACAGAGGAAGCAAAAGTCTACGACAGGACTGTGGGTAGCCTTGGCAGGCACTACTCTTCAGGAGAGGCTGATCTCGCCTTCTGGAGCACATGTACACCAAGAGCAAAGTAAGTGCAAATACTTACTCAGCAAAGAACTGCTGGATTTTTCTCAACAACAACAACAAGTCATTGCAAACATTGTTAATATTTTGCTTTTTCCAACAAGGAACAACACATGGCCCTTTTGGTTACAACTTGCATAAGCGGCAAATATTTTCATGCAGCTAAAAGGAGAAGCAGGGGCAGAGGGCCATGATTTTGTTATTGCTAAGTATGGGGAAAAAAAAAAAACTTACTTCAGTAGTTTTATATTGCACATAATCAGCTCCTTCCAATTAACAAAAATCATAGCAACTTCTTTTTCTGTTAGCAGCTCAGATTCCATTAGTGGTTTCTGGAAGATCTAAAGATTCAGAAAATTAAGCCATTTAGAAAGTATATGGTAAGTATAATTTAAGTGACTAAGACTGATGATGCTCATTTCCTTAGTCCGGAGGAGAAAACTTCACATCACAGTAGCACTTGACACTCAGTGGAACAGACTTCAAACATGCGCTGTGCCCTGGAGATCCATAGTGTTGCTTGATAATATGTTTGTGAGCGGCGTATGGCTTTAAAAGAGAATACTCTAAATTTGTGTTGGTGGTGTTAATTATGACCTGGATAACCTGTTTGAAACTTGGGAATTTTAGTCAGAGGTCTCCTGCAAAATATCCCAGGATTACTTTGATAATACAATTTAAAATTTATTTTACTTTGGCCTCTTTTATGGAAGTTCTGATTTATCTCATAGTGTCTCAGGTTTGCATATCTTGACCTCTTTTTCAGAAAAGGGCTTTCCCTCTCTGTCAAAAGAATTGTCTAAGTCAGTTGCCTGTACTAATTCCCTTTTTTCCCACATAAGAGATGCACCTTGTAACATTTAAAGAAAATTACAGTAAGTGATAACTGAGTGCCACTGTGAATGTGGAAACTGGCACATAAAGCGCTTCAAGCTTTAAGAACTTATACATGAGAAACAAACATTCAAAATCAGGAGCAAAAAGGGTTTACTAGAATGATACTTTAAACATCAGTGTTTTGGTGACGGTAACACAAGGGCTTAACATTAGTTGCACCCACACCCATACAGGCATGCATATATCTATAGATATAGATATGGATAGATAGACAGACAGACGGACGGATGAAAATTTAATACAGATCATCCCTAGGAAGTCAAGCACAGCAGTGATATAAAATGAGTTTGCACAGTGAAATTATTGATTTACTTTAAAAAGATGAGTGATTAAAATTTGCTCCCAAGGCTGCTGTGCCGTCTTACCTCTGTGACCAACTGCAGATCATTTACATAGTTCTCTTCTGTGACAATGAGCTCGTGGATGTATCCCTGCCTTTTTCTTTCAGTGGGTGTTAACATATCCAGAAGATGCAAGTCTGCACACCCTGGAAAACACAAAAGGATCCTAGATTTTACTTAACAGTCGTTTGCAAATTGATTCAGATCTGTAGCAGTTCAAGTAAGGCTTAATGAACAGTAACTACTGCCTGTTCAGTTCACTTAATCATTATTCACATGCAATGGCACAACCCTAACAATGCTTCATCGCTTTGTGACTCAAAACACTGTATTTAACACCTTTTTTTTTTTTTCTTTTTTTAAATCAAGGCCATTTCTACGTGATAATCTTTCTCTGGTGGCAAAGCTTAAAAGTCCTCCTCACCGCTACCTGCCCATTTCCAACCTCACTCCGAAGTTCACTGTCCCCTTTAGTGGTGTCATTCAACTGGAGCCACACTGTAAAACAAATCCCCAAATGGATCGCTGTTAATAAAAAAGGCTTCCTCTGGTATTACTGCCAAAGAAAATACAGAGATACCCCAAAAGGGAACAGAATTAGGAAAGAGCGCTACAGTGACTGTAACGCTCTGATGGACACTTTAGAATTTCAGCTTGCTTATACTCTAAATTCAAGGTTAGCCTTTATCCTTCCAGTCAAAGCAGACATCCTAATCAAGAAGGTCCTGCAGAGCTTATTTACTTCTCCACACTTCGATTAAAAATTGCTTCTAAATTTTTGAAGGACTTGAGCCAGAACACATGAAGGTCAGTGGAGATCGCTCCACAGAATTCACTAATTTATAGGCCAAGCCAAAGGGGGTTATTATTGTTCTCCTTTATCTTTAAAAGAATGAGAAAAGTTTGTAACTAAGAACTCATCTTACATCAGTTTTGTCCTTTCATTTTTGCAAACCACCTCCTTTGTGTTTATCTTGTGTAGATGCTAGAATTTTTGTATAAATTCTAGAATCTCAAATTTTGTTTTCTGTTCAGAATTAGAACAGAATGTTTCATTACAATTTTTTCTATAAGCCAGTATTTTTCAGCTGAGCTTAATTAAATTCTTCTGAGACTGTTTTTTCTTAGGCTGTCAAGCAGAATGTTTTCTTCCAGTTTCACTTTTAACACTACTTTTATTACTTTTCTGCATAAAATAAAATGCATTTCAAAAAGCAAAGGTGTTTTCAAACAGGTTGAAAACATTTTGCTTTAAAAATGCACTATTTACAACTATTTCTACACAATCAAAATCCTTCAGTTTAATTCTTTCCCAGAATACTCGGCAAACTATGGGCAAATTCAGTATATTTCCCATAGAAACATACGTTCCTTATAGAAGATGTTCTGACTGAAAAAATATTCAGAGAGACCTTCACTTCGTGGGGTTTTAAAATGGTCAAGGCTTTTTGTTTTTACATTGTTCACAAGCACCAACAATGACACCAACCTACTGAGATCTGACAGGGGTTTTTAGATCAGTCGTTCTCAAATGCTCCTAATCACATCACACCCCATACAACTCCTTCAGTTCTTTGCATATACAGTTAATATACTTAGTAAATACTTAGATAGTATTTACTGCTTTTTTAGCTTCCTGAATGTAATTCAGGAGCTGATTCTGCACTATGCCACTAGCAAGGTCCACATGTATCACCATTAAGTTTTTCATGGACTATCTTCAACTACTGCTTCAACTAATCTGTGCTCCTGAAAAGGTAATGATAGATTTGACTTTAAAATAAAATAAAATGAAAAAAAAAGAAAAGTAGATACAGACAGTCAAGGTAGTTTCCTCTGTGATTAAGGAGCTGAGAACAGATCAGATTGGAAGCATAAGCATATTGATAACGCTCCTTTGAGATACAGTACGTTGCGGTCCTTCAGAAGATGCAATTGAAACTTTGCTTGAAATAAAAAGTAGGTTTTGAGAATTATCAATTTTATGCCAAAATAATCAAAGCGCTAGGCACATTTCAAAAGCCAAAAGTTTCATTTCTTTTTAATAAATGGCCACTTTCAGAGCATTTTCTTAGATATCATGTAAATCAGAGGTCTAATAAACTGAACTACTTCTCCCCATGCACTGTCAGCTTCATTAGAAGTGAACAAAGTGTTTAATAATTCTTCTCTAGAGACTGGGGAAGTTTACTGTTCAAAGATGCTGATGACCTTGGTCTGAAGTGTGGTTTCCAACCACCAACCTTTTAGAGGAAGCATTTAACATTTTCAATCATAATATATTTTAGCGGCTAGCTTGGCAGCCAGCCAACTGGGATGTAAATGGGCTACTCTGAACTTCAACAAATTGTCTACTTTTGAACACTAAATATTTGGGAAAATAGCCTGTTTCAATCTGAGCAGAACATGCAGGAGACGCTTTTCTGATACGGGATTTTCTTCATGAGGTGCACAAGTACTGAAGATTTTTCTTGTCTTTGTATTAAAAACAGCAAAGAATTGGGTTCCTTTCCAAGGGGAAATGTCAGGCCATAGGGCTCTAGCTAGTTTTTCACAGATGCCAAAGTACTGTGCAAAGTACTTTTATGAACATCCAAATTCCACTTGCAGCTGTAATAATATCATTCATGAATTCAATTCACTAAGAGACTCCTGCTAGGGGCTAGAAAGCACCCTTGATATCAGACATTTCCACTGACAGATGGGAAGGCTCTGCCGTGGGTAAAGTACGGGACCTTACCTCTGTGTAGAATTGGTTAATGTTTCTAACTTTAAGCACACAGATAGTCCCTCATGCATACAGCCATTCAGGTACTTAAAATCAGGCACTAGCATTTGCCTTTTCAGTCACTGAGTGACCCATTCTTTCATATTTTCTCTCCTGCTCTGAGAACGTAGAGTGTTGGATCCCATCTGGAAGGTACCAAATTTGAATCCTGAGCTACAAACAATCTAGTAAACTCAAAAGAATGGGGAAATTACAATAGCTAACTCTGTATGTTCACACCATGGTGAATACATGAATTTCTGCCCTTTTTAATTGAATAACCAGTACATCCCCAAGCAGAGGCATTCGCACACACTCACAAGACTGGTTACTCTGTCTGGACTTACAGAACCAACATACAAACGCTGTAACTAGAAATCCGTGCTTTGACCTCCTATCACCATAGGACCTGTAGGACTAAGGGATTCTAGAAACATAAAAAGTAATTTCAAATATCATTCTAAGAAGTAAACTTGTTGTTTCTTTTCCTTACAAAGTCAGCCCTGAAAATAAATGGTCTCACAAGCCAACCACTAAGCTTGAAAGCAATGCGCAAGAGATGCTTCTTTTTCAGACAGAAGGTTCTGCCGTGGAACTCGCTGATCTACATACATGGGCACAACTTCTGATTTCTTCTAATTCGGGGAGATTTTCTAAACAACATAACTGCCAGGTTTCACTGTAAACCTCATGCTGGCCCATTCCGTAATGACAAGATCACAGGAGACAGGGATCTGTTCTATTATAGGGAACCAGAAGCAGTCAAAAAACACGTCACAGTTTTCCTCCAAAACCTTAAGTGGGGAGAAATAGCACTCCTGGCACCACGATAACATTCCTTCACTCAAATTACAGCATTTCACCACTCAGTCTTCTTATCAACCAGCTTCAGATGCAACCACCAATTTCCCACAAATACCTTGTGGGACGGACCCTCCACTGAGAGACTATCTCAAGGTTTTGCTGAGGACAGCACAGAGTCTGGTGATCAAACAGATCTCTCCATCTCAAGCTTCTGTGATGCAAAATCCCATTTCACAGCTCTTTTCAATGATTTCAGCACGTTTAGAATTTCTCAACTGGACTACTATGTCCATTTATTGTTAGAGCAGAGTGTTTCCCTCCAAGACGGATGGAAGTAGGATCTAGAAACAAATCTCCAAAGTCCCGCTTGCAAAATATTAAGCATTACTTTGTTTTTGCCAAGACCAGTCACCACCAACACGTGTGCCTCCTCCTCCTCCTGCTCACACCAGTCAGCTATTACCAGGTGGAAGAACTGCCGCTGCCAATCCACACAGGCCAAGCAACAGACTCAAAGATCTTTCATAACAATTTCGATTTTCCTTTTTTTTTTCCTTAAATTCTAGAACATGCCCGAGTGTTAAAGGCAAGGTTTGTAGTCCTCAACAATGTACATTTGTGATACACTACCATCATCTTCATTTTGCAACAGCAAAATGTTTCTGCAGCATTTTAGGTTAATACCTTAGTTTCTATGAAAAATAAGGTTTTAGTATTCAATCAAGGGAAGGAGGTAAAGAAGAAAGGTGAGACATTTGGGAAGGAACCCTACTAAATCCTTTCAGAAAAAAACAGAACATGTCTACCAGTCCCTTTCCAGAATCTGCTTGGGGAGAATAAAATCCTACGTGCGAGGACATGGATGCATCTAAAAATATAAATTGGCTGAGTTAACTGATTCTTGGACTTGTTTATATCACATCAGGTAACTTTAAATCTCACCTCTGAATTATGACCCAGGACCTATCTTGAGCCCCTGACCACTTACTGTACAGTAACAGCAAATCAGTCAAGAGATCATCAGCCACAGATCCAAGCTGAAGGAACCACACAGTCCAATTTTATATTGTCTTCCGCAAAAATAAAGATGCTGTATAGGTATTTCACTTGGAGTCAGAAATGTGGTAACTAAATGTAATATTCTAAAATACTTTAAAAAAAAAAAATGTATTATTTGTTTCACTTTCTCGGGCAGACCTCCAGCCATCATCTTTCCTGGCTTTAGGTCTTCCCCCCAAAAAAAGAATGAAAGTGAAGGAATCAAACTAGACTTATTTTAACACTCATTTGGATCCAGAATTACTCCAACACATGAAACAATTCTGCAGAGAAAACTGCACTGGACAGTGTGAGTGTGATGGAGAAAACATGAATCCGGTTTCGGCCATCTAGGCCAGGGCACAGAAAACCTCTGTCTGTGACGCTGGTTTGAGCCCGGTTCAGACCAGCACTCTGCTAGCGCTGGCACCAGTTCACAGCCGCACGCTGGTGGGTAGCAGCTGAGCCGGCAGCATCAGGTCAGTACTCTGTGGGTACAAACTGGTACCTGGACAGACCAAACGCTGAAGCCGGGAA